TGTCAATTTCCCCCCCTCCCTGTCCATTTCCCCCCCTCCCTGTCAATTCCCCATGTCCATTTAGCCCATGTCTATTTCCCCCTGTCCATTTCTCTCCCTCTCCTGTCCATTTACCTCCCTCCTCCCATTCCCTCCCCATTCCCCCTCCCTGTCCATTTCCCCCCCTGTCCATTTCCCCCCTCCCCTGTCCATTCCCCCATGTCAATTTCTCCCCCCCATGTCAATTTCTCCCCCTACCTCCCTGTAGCGTGGCCAAGCCCAGTATGTTTCCAGCTTTTGTTTCCTGTACCCGCAGACCATACCATAGAGGGCTCGGTCACGCTACAGGGAGGGAGTGACAGGAGGGAGTGCTCAGTGCTTCCCTCCTGTCAGCCCCTCTCCCCATGCTGCGCCCGGGCGGTGCGTTCCCCCCTTATAGACGCACCGCCCGGGCAAAGCTGCAGCCGCCTGAGGCTCTCTGCAGAGCGCTCGGGCGGATGCAACAAAATAGCGCTAGGGTGGAGACCGAATCCACCAAAAAGATGGCGAAGGCCATATAGACACTGCATGTCAGTATGAAGTGCAGTGTAAAGGTATGGAACCCCAGAGGAGACAAAATTAAGATTTAGAGACCCCACCTGATTGCTCAGACAACATGGGGCGCAAGTCCAAAAAATTTAAACCTGATTGACCCAATCTTGGGATGAATATAGGCGACTTTTCTCCACAAGTCGCCTATATTCATCCCAAGATTGGCACATAGTGCGAGTGGGCCTAAAATGGTCGCATTCTCAGGAGCTTGCTTGGATTTTTTGGATGACTTATCCCTTGAAGAAGAGGAAGTAAACTTACCCACACTTGCGAAACCACCGCCAACCGCAACGGAGCTGGACTCTTCTCCAGTCACCATTTCTATCCTGAAGGGGCTCCTGGCAGAACTGCAAAACCCTCTACAAGCAGACATAGCTACGATCCGCTGAGGCCTGCAAGGCTTGACAGGCTGCATTGGTGCACTGGATGAAGCTTCTTACAAGGACTCCCAGCAAATAGGGATGCTGGAACAAGTGGAGCAAGACCTGCAACGGCAGAACTAAGCACTTGAACGCCGCTTTGCTGCTCAGGAAGCCCTCTGCAATTGGAACAATTTAAAAATCTGAGGGATCACTGAGGAGTTCCCTGTAATTAAAATACCGTATCTACTGAGGAGACTGATGGGAGGGGGCCTTGCTTCCATAAAGGCAGTATCCCTGGATGGACTTTTTTGTGTGTCCAAACCAGCCAAGGCACCAGCCACGGTCCCAAGGGAACAGGAGAGACAAGGCTACCAATTTGAGAATATGTCCCTAGCGTGTTATGCAGACTTATCTGGCAGCACACTGGCCTGGTGGTGGTCCCTCAAGCCTCTCACCAATGCTTTTACAACAACGCAACATTAGTTGCCGCTGGCGCATTTCACGCACACTTCTCGTGCTGCATGGGGACACTACTTACACTCTTCAGTATCTTCAAGGTGCAGCAACACTCTCATGGGACTTAGGTCTTCCACAGGACTATCTGACCCGGATTAAATTCAATGCCACTTCCAATCCTCCACATGCCTTGGGCCCAACCAGAATTCCTCCGTTCACCCCACGTCAGCCCATAGCGGAATCGGTTCACCCCACGTCAGCCCATAGCGGGATCTTATGCGGCAGCCACTACTTGAATCCATGAAGGGTTCTAAGAATCCCTAATGCAATCCCTAATGACCTGATCTTACGTGCAGACCGATGGGTATAGCCCACAAATGATCCACCGCCCATCGCCTCAAGGGCTACAACATTTAAATATGTCCACTCCATAGACGAGAGACATAAAACTATTTTTCAACTATCTAGCGCACAAAGCCTTTTTGCTATGGCCCAAACTCAGACCTTTATGGTTACCCTATCTCCAAACCTAGCTACTTCCCAATAGATAACGGTATGGCCACTTATTGAACGCCACCACAAGCAGCACATAAACCTCGTAGGTTGACCACCTTTTAGCTTAGCGCACACCCGACACATCTTGTTTATGTATACGTCATGTGACTTATGACGTCACACAACCGTTACATTTGAATTTTCTACCCCTATTTAAAGAAGCATTGGTCCTTTCCTCTGTAAACACTTTAGATAAAGCCATTGAATAGTGAAACACTTTAAGTGTATTTTCAAATTGTTTTATACAGCTATTTTACATAATTTCTAATATTTTTTTATTTTTTTCATTAATAAAAGTAATTTTTTTATTGGACTTGCTTGCTGCAGCTCGTGAACACCTATATGCTTGAGGGTGACACCTATGCTTGTTGGCTAGAGCAATCCTTATTTGTGAGTAGATTTTAATCATCTTATTTTAATTTTCACTCCATATGGTGTACACTATTTTGTTTTTTTCTCCCCCTTTTTATATCATCGGAGTTAAACCATCACCACCGATATCCAAGAGTGGAGATTATACCACTTCACTCTAAATCTGCAGAGCAGCTCTCCAGGCTCTGGAACATGAGAGTACATATTGGTTATCAGTTTTATTCTTATACCTGCATTTGAAATACTGCACTATATATTTGTATTTCTCCGATATATCTACGAACGTCACCACCTCTACAAGAACCTACTGTAAGATTCTGTACTCCACTACATCCGTAGGCAAGGATCATTCCACCCAGGTGCTTAAGATGAAGCTATATCTTAGCTTCCATAAGGTGTGAGTATGCTTACTATTTATTATCTATTTGAACTGTTACGTACTTCACCATCAGTGTTCAATTTTCCCCTTGTTTTTATTACATATACCATATTTTTTTGTATATAAGACGCCTCCATGACAAAGACAACCCGTATTCTTTGAGCCCAAAATTACAACAACTTTGATATTTTAGAGGGGACTTCTGAGAAAAACAACACACTTCTGATTCTCATGCCTCCCCTGAGCTACGGTACTCTGTAAAGGTAATGGCTCCATAGTGCATGCTGGGAGACTACAGCTCCCATAATACAGCAGGTGGTGTGAGGGCATACAGGGACATCACAGCAGTATTCCCTTTGTTCCCTGATCCCCATTTCCTCCCCCATAAATATAAATCTGAAAGCAAGACCTACCTGAGGTGGAGCATACCTCTATGGCTGCTCCTTTTATGGTGTGGCATGTCTCAAAAGCTCCGTTGGTGGTAAGTGCTGATGTCTGCTGCATCTCCCACGCATATAGGGACCTCTTCCTCCATTCAGAAGTGGATCACGTGATTTAAAGTAGTCAGGCCCTGCTTCATGTCACTCTGGACCTGGATCCAGATAGGGCTCTAATTGGGAGTGAGCGCAACTTGGTCCGTGATTATAAAATGGCTGGATTTCCCTTCATCTTCAGTTTTTCTATAATACAGACCTGCTCTCACTATGGGGCTGCGGGGCTGGGAGGCCAGGCATGTGTGTGGGCCGTGGCACACTGAAATGCGGCAGGCACCATCTTGGCTTAGGCATCTGCAATATTAGACTAACATTTTTTTAGAAAAAAACCGTCTTCTACATGAAAAAATACGTTCTTTCAAGGACACCTTGAGCGCTACACCTCCCCCTGTGTTTTTATCTGCCTATTCATGGGACAAGCCATTTTTGATGACTAAGCTGCCCTTTGGACTACATCAGTATTTGAAAAGCGCTGAATTCTTCCTGTTTTTTTTTTTTACATATTTTTTACATTTAAATTTTTTTTACATATTTCTTTATCTGTAAAATAAATAAAACATTAAAATAAATAAAACATGCCTTAACATTATGATTTTAAGGTATGTTTTTAAATGCTTTAGCAATCTGGCAAAGACGATTGGTGATGAGTATGAGGTACGGCAAGTGTAAGGCATAGATGATGATGCAGTGACCTTAAGACCTGGTAAGTAAGATAAATAAATAACCCTCCGCCAACTCACAGCTAATGTTAGGGAATGTATGTTTTAGATTTATTTCCTCCCAAGATGCACCAGCAAGTAATGGGACATTAAAAGCAACATAACCACTACAGCTGGTTGTAGAATATATGTTGCTATCAGTTCCCCTTTCAGACAAAAAAAAAAAAATATTCTGTGATTTGATGGTGAATGTGACTAGTTTGGGTTATGATTAATTGAGTGAATGCGACTAGGTTGAATAATAAGGGGGAGGGAGGTTGATTTGTTTTTGTATTTGTGGTAAAGGCTGTTTGTGGTTTCGTAGCTTTTTGGGGCTGTGTTGCATTTGTGAAGATACCGTATATACTCGAGTATAAGCAGAGTTTTTCGGCACATTTTTTGTGCTGAAAAACCCCAACTCGGCTTATACTCGAGTCAGTGTCTGTATTGTGGCAATTTACATTGCCACAATACAGATCAGGACCGCCAGGCTCATTACAAGCCCAGCGGTCCTATTGGGGGCTGACAGGGAGCTCTTACTTACCTTCCTGCAGCTCCTGTCAGCTCCCTCCTCCTCCGTGTAGCTCCCCGGTCCGCTCCGTTCTGCTCACAGTGTAAGTCTCGCGAGACATTTACACTGTAAACAGAACGAGCTGACGAGGAGCTGCGCGGAGGAGGAGGGAGCTGCAGGAAGGTAAGTAAGAGCTCACTGCCAGCCCCCCCACTGAACTGCCAATGCCACTGGACCACCAGGGATTTAATATTATTTTATTTTAATAATAATATAATATTATTAAAATAATATTATTATTATATTATTATTATTTTAATATTTGCATTATTTTTTATTTATTTTTTTTTGTCCCCCCTCCCTGCTTGTTGCCTGGCCAGGGACGGGGGACAAAAAACATTATTTTTTTAAATAATGCAAATATTAAAATAATATTATTATTTTAATATTATATTATTTTATTATTATATTATTATTATTTTAATATTTGCATTATTTTTTTTTAATGTTTTTTTGTCCTACCTCCCTGCTTGTTGCCTGGCCAGGGAGGGGGGGGGGCACATTTTTTTTTTTTTTAAATAATGCAAATATTAAAATAATATAATGGGGGGCGTGTCCGGCTTCCGGTGAGAGAGGACGCATGGCATAGGAGCTCCGCCGTTATCCCGACCTTGAGCGACTAATTGAGCGACTTTCAGCGACTGAACCACCGCTACCCTCTACCCTGAGCTTACGGGAATATCACAGCACCCTACAATGCCTCCTCCTAAGCAGCTAAAGCTGTCGGAAATGACAAAATCGAAAAGAGCGGACCGCCGCAAAGACATCCAAGATGGCGACGACACATCTAATCTATCCGACGGTCAATCAGACTACGAACAGAGCTCATCCAAATACTCTGAAGCTCCAGTGATGGAGCGCAGCCTTCACAAAATGCTGCAAGAACTTAGAGCTACTATAACAGCGGACTTCCACCGCATTAATGGTGATCTGAGAAAAGAAATCTCTAATATCGGTGACAGAACCAGTCACCTGGAAAATAAAACGGATGAGCTCTGTATAGCACATAACGAAGTAGTGGACAAAGTTCAGAAATTGTCTGAAGAAAATTCTTTATTACGTGACAAGCTTGCTGACATGGAAGACAGGTCAAGGAGGCAAAATATAAGATTCAGGGGCATACCGGATGATGTTACGCAAGAAGCATTACCAGCTCACATTCTATCTATATGTAACACCCTGGTCCCGGGCCTACCTAACTCCGCATGGGCATACGATCGTATGCACAGACTCCCACGGCCTGCGCATCCCTAAGGACGTTATCATAAGATTTCATTACTTTGCTCATAAAGAAACTCTGCTGGCAGCGGCGAGAAAAGCCCCAACACTCCCAGAACCTCATCAACGGATCGCACTTTATGCCGATTTATCAGCAGCTACAATGGAAAAACAAAGGGGTTTTATAACAGTAACTAAAACATTACAGAACAACAACGTGGCTTACAAATGGGGTTATCCAACCAAATTAATCATCTGGCGTCAAGGTCGCAACCACATAGCGATTGACCCAACAGAGGGTATGAAGCTGATTTCAGCCTGGGGACTATAGACTGGTACCCCTCAACTCCAAAGCAAAGCTTCAAATAATGCATCCCCGAGAAAACGTCAAGCAGACTGGCAAATGGCGAAATCACCAGCCAACACTCCGTGACCTCCTTATGGTTACATATGCCCACAAAGTCATTGATAAGTATCTTGGATATGTAACTGAGATTATAGCAATTTCTCCGATTTTATACCTGTGTGTTCAAGCTGGTACTGTCGGGAATATTGTTCAGTTTAAGTCATGTATATTTTTATAGTTTATATTGTTGTGCACATTATATTCAAAGCTAATGCTATTAAGGGAATATGACACCTTATGGCCCACTTGTGGAGCGCTGTGCAGACTGATAATCTGGGTGCCTCTCAATGTAACATCTTTATGAAGGTACTCGATATATATATCCTGCATATAGCTTAGTTAATACCGAGCTTCAAGTATATCTATCTCAACCCTAAACTAATACTGATCTGCACGATCGGGCCATATGTACAACTCGCTATGTAGAAAAGCAATAGTCCACATGATTTGCAAATATTATGAGTGCTTTATACAATGTGTGGTTGCATGCCCAATATGTTTAATCCCATCTAGGGCGGCGAGGTCTTCCTTGCACGGCTGTGTATTGAAGTTCATAACAGTATGTCACCCCTGGAACTAGGGCTCCGGTCCTGGCGTGTTACATGTATATATTTTTAGGTTGCAGGCTAGCTTAACCGACATGGGCGCACATACCCAGAGCGCGTAACCATAATATAATTAGCAACCAGTCATAACATTGTCTAACCGATGACGATGCCGCAGGGCGAAGCGGTATAACTTATATTTCTGATGCCTCACCCTGTGTTGCACCTAGTAGTCTCTACTACTGTAGATGAACTACGGTAATCACTCGATATATAGCAAGAGACGGCTGTGTAGCACACATTGAGATAGATAGACTTGCACTCATACCATATAGATTCTTTTGAGTCATTGGTCGGGAGGAGCCCACAAGACCTCCCTAGGTCGCCATGGGATATGTTCTTGCATATCCTACGGATGACGATTTATGTGGAACCCTTTAAGGGTTTCCTCTGTATATACCTGTGTTATTGTTATTGTTTGGTTATCCATGGTTTTTTCCCTTCCCCTCCCCCTTCACTTCCACCTTCACAAGTAAGCTTTTTTGTTCACACCGCATCAGATCATTCCATGACATTTGAGAGTATCCACTTTGTAGGGAATATTATGAGTGGTCCCAACATAATCTGGGCTCCCATACCCACGGAGTGGGCAATGAGGTATACCTCTAGGGGTGCTATACCGTACAGATCTAAACTAAGTTGCGACAGCGGTCCCAATTACCTCCTCACTTTATGATATAGATGCCGCCTAACACACTACAAATCTTTTCCCTTAATGTTAAAGGCCTCAACAGCCCCTACAAACGAAAGCAACTGTTGAAGGACATGCATAAAGCAGGAACCGCGATTGTTTGTGTCCAAGAGACACACTTCGCGAACCGTAACCCTCCTCAGATCCGTTCCCCAATGTACCCACAAGTGTATCATGCTTACTCACCAACCAAGTCCAAAGGTGTTGCAATTTTTTTCCACAAAGATTGGCTTTACACAGCTCAAAAACAATTCACTGACCCAACTGGCCGTTTACTGGTCCTAGTAGGCGAACTGAATGGTATTCAAGTAACTGTGGTATCGCTATACGCTCCTAATGAAGCTCAATTCTCATTTCTTAATAAAGCAATTAAGAAAATAAATTCCATCAAACAGGGCCATGTTATCATCTGCGGCGACTGTAATTGTACCCTCATGCCCTCTCTAGATATACAACGCATCAAAAACAAACCTCCCAATAAATTATCTATTCACAATAGTAAACTGTTCTCTCGGCTTCTTCATGAGCAAGATCTATATGACACATGGAGAAATTTATTTCCAACAGCACGAGATTACACCTACTTCTCACAGGTACACCTAACGTACACACGCATCGACCTTTGCCTAGTCGATAAACATACCCTTCCACATCTTAAGGACCAATCCATTGGGCTTCGGACATGGTCCGATCATGCCCCCATCCTGGTCACGCTAGCAGTGCCATATCCCACAACAGGGAGAGGTAAATGGCGCTTGAATGAATCTCTCCTTGATAACCCTGCTGACACACAATATATTTCCACGGTAGTAGATAATTACTTTGAGGTTAATTCCACTGAAGATACCATGGTAGAAACTCAATGGCTGGCACACAAAGCAGTTGTCAGGGGTCACTTCATCAAATTGGGTTCCATAGCTAAAAAAAGCTATATATCTAAAGAGACTGCACTTCGCCATACCCTTAGGAAGTTAGAAGAATCCAACAAACAATCCAAATCCAAGTCAGTCACCCGTCAAATCACCAAAGTACAACAGGATATTCACCTTCTTCAAACACAAATATACACTAAGCAAGCACGTAAAACTCAACAAACGTATTACTTTTCGGGGAATAAGGCAGGCAAGATATTGGCTAATCAACTGAAAGCAAAATACCTACAAACTAAAATCCCTTATCTATATTCCAAAGATCACGTACGAATATATAACCCGAATACGATTGAAGAACTGGCCAGTTTTTATGAAGACCTGTACAATCTTCGCAATAGCCCAAACACCAAATCTCCCAATGCTGTAGACATTACACAGTACCTCTCCCGAATCACACTCCCTCAAATACCGACGCATCACATAAACCTTTTAGATGCACCTTTTACGGAAACTGAAGTGGGTAATGCGATTAAATCCCTGTCAAAACATAAAGCACCGGGGCCTGATGGTCTCTCCAACTACTATTATTTAAAATTGGCATTGCGACTAATACCACACCTTACAACATTATTTAACAAAATAAGAACGACAGGTAAATTCCCACAAGAAATGCTGGAAGCCTACATTATCACCTTGCCTAAGCCAAATAAACCACCAACATATTGCAGCAACCTCAGGCCAATTTCATTACTTAATGCCGACGTTAAGTTGTACGCCAAGCTGCTTGCCAACAGAATTCGCCCCTTGTTGTCCGCGTTAGTCTCAGAGGAACAAGCGGGCTTTGTTCCTGGCAGGCAGGTTGGGGACAACACCAGATACTGTATGGACTTAATTGATTGGGCCAACCTCAAAAACAATTCAGGTGCCTTGTTGGCATTATATGCGGAAAAGGCATTCGACCGCCTAAATTGGGAATACATGTCCAAGACTTTGTCGGCCTTTGGTTTCTCCAATGCTTTCATTACCAGCATCATGGCCCTATACTCCACCCCATCTGCTAAAGTTTTCAGTTCCGGCTTCACATCAAGAAATTTTCGCATAACCAATGGTACGAGGCAAGGGTGTCCCTTGTCACCCTTGATCTTCATTTTATATTTGGAACCTCTAGTTAGAATGATCAAGCTTGATGCGGCGTTACCCGGTATAGATACCCCGTCTGGAGAAAAAAAGTTGGCACTCTTTGCCGATGATGTAATCATCTTTCTAGCTAGCTCTTCTGAATCCATTCCTCACCTATTACAAACACTGGCCACATATGGAGACATTTCCTATTATAAAAATAATGTTAATAAAACCCAGATACTCCCCATAAGACTTGACAAGCAATTGGTAAGCGAACTGAAAAACACATACCAATTTGCGTGGCAAACTAACGCAATTTCGTACCTAGGTATCAAATTAACGCACTCCAAATCCCTAACTATAAAGGAAAATCACATAGCGGTCCTGTCCAATATTACCAAACAGATGGACTCTTGGAGCAATCTCTATACATCATGGTTTGGTAGAATAAATTCTATTAAAATGATGATTTTGCCACATATACTCTACCTATTTAGGTCATTACCCATCGCCTTACCGAATTCGCTCCTTCAACGTTTCCAAAGGGCAATTAACGCTCATATTTGGAAGAAAAAACCCCCAAGAAACTCTTTCCACTCTCTATGGCGCCCATTCAAAAAAGGAGGTCTTAACGTTCCCAACATCATGCTCTACTATAAAGCAACCCTGATGTCGCAAAGCCTCTATGTCATGATGGGCACACACAAACCAGTATGGGTAGACTTAGAATCCGCATGTGGGGGTTCACACTCCCTCTATGATGCCCTATGGTCCTCCACCCCCTTAGCATCACCCTCCACGCTCCCAACAACACGATATCTTACAAAATCATGGTCTACGTGGAACACAGCAATATGGCCAAAGGCAGAATTACTGTACCTTGCACCATTGTCAGCCCTCTTCGCCTTATCTCCCGACCTCCAAACATCCAAATGGTCAGCCTTAGGTGTCACACATGTACATAAAATGTTTGGTATAAATGGCATCCATCCTTTCCCAACACTGCAGGAACGGTACAATTTACCTTCGAGGGATATTTTCATGTACTTGCGTGTCAAACATATCTTAATGTCACAATCGATTGAGCACATTGACCCGCTGTCACTTAGTAATATAGGTGCACAATGTTACCATGCCAGACTGATACGTCCTTCTTGCAAACTTCTTTCCCTATGTTATATGACGCTGTCTGATATTCACGGACCCTCCAAACTACCTTACATGAAGCAGTGGGAGACATCGTTAGGGGTAACCCCAACTCTCATAGAATGGGAACAAGCCATCACTTACACCAAACAATCTTCGAAGTGTGTCACACTATGGGAAGCCTACTTTAAAATGTTAATGAGATGGTACTTGGTCCCGAGCAGGATTCACAAAATTTACCCCAATTCTCCCTCAATATGCTGGCGCTGCAACTCCAGTTTAGGTTCTATAGAACATATATTTTGGCACTGTCCCAACCTGCAACACTTTTGGAAGGCCGTCCAAACAACCGTTCTTGCGATTTGTAAGACTACACTCCCACTAGTCCCAGAAATTTACTTGCTCCACATTATCCCTAACCTACGTGATATACCATCTAGAGATGCAGTATTAAATATACTAGTGGCAGCAAAAATCAGCATTGCAGCCCATTGGAAAGATACCAAGTCCCCTTCTTTGAAGGAGGTTCTAGGTAGGGTAGAGGTTACATACCACCACGAATGCGAATGGGCAAAAGGGGGTAACGGGTCACACTTTCTGGACAGGTGGAAAAATTGGGAGTCTTTTAAAGACTCTCATGCTACAGTGTAACGAGCTGCACTAGCTACAGGTATCCCTCCGTTCTTTACCATCCCCCTATCTGTACTGAACAGGACATTGAAAGAAGTAAACCCGCAACTAGACTGGGGAAGGTATTCCATATGGTATAAGGCCTACCACTACAAGACAAGATACTATGCTATATTATCCTACTATACCTTGCAAGACTACTCAACCACAACCATACCACTACTACACTATATTCCACTATAATAAAAGTATTATAACACACGACAAGATGCTCTCTACTGTACCCTTCCCACCCACCTTTCCTCCCCTTTCAGTTATTATGGTTATTTCATGTATATATTATGTTTACTTTATATTATGTTCTTATCTATGCTAAGTATATGACGCATAGCTTCTTACTACGGAGTAGCAAGAATGTTTAGATTGTTATGTCCACACCATTGGTCGTGGAATCTCAGGTACAATGCATAACCTTAGCAAACTGTCTAAAACGTCTCACAATACCACAACACATGGCAAGACCACCTGGTCTATCAGTTACCAATATTGGCGATACTACGTACTCTACCCAAACAGGCCGAGCTATCCCCGCATTACTTTCACAGTTTTGTTTTTCCTTTCTTTTAATTTTATGTCTTCATATTTGCTATCCTGTTATTGGATACTTGGTCTGTACACCAGGCGGATAATAATGATGTAGAAGGGAGAGCGGTTCAGTTCAGTCGTGTATAAAATATGGTGACAACCATCGAACTTTCCAGGCTACCTCAATAGAAATATATACCTGTGTATCCCCATATGTATGTATGTATGTATTTAGGTGCCAGACAGCTCCTTCCTTCCTTCATGATGGTATACTTATATAAGCTATGTATAAAGCGCAACGAGATAAGGCTACTGTACATGTTATCACCGTATTTTTCTTCTCTTTTCTCTTATTTGTGTGTTTTTGTACTATGCTGTAATGTATTATGTTATATGAGGAATTTGACTCCTCTATTGTTACCTCTTTATAAAACAATAAAGACATACATTGAAAAAAATAATAATATAATAATAAAATATTATTATTTTAATATTATATTATTATTTTAATATTTGAATTATTTTTTTTAAAGTTTTTTTTGTCCCCCCTCCCTGACCAGGCAACAAGCAGGAAGGGGGGACAATAATGCAAATATTAAAATAATAATATTATTATTAAAATAATATAATATAATAAAATTAAAATATCCAGTTTACATACACTGCACAAACACACACTGCATTATATACACACACACAACACACACAACACACAAACACACACACACTGCATTCATTATATATACACACACAAACACACACGCTGCATTCATTATATACACACACAAACTCTGCATTCATTCTATACACACACTGTAAATAAATATTCAATTAATGTAATTTTATTGGGATTTAATTTATAAATTTACCAGTAGATGCTGCATTTCCCACCCTAGGCTTATACTCGAGTCAATAAGTTTTCCCAGTTTCTTGTGGTAAAATTAGGGGCCTCGGCTTATATTCGGGTCGGCTTATACTCGAGTATATACGGTAGGTTTCTTGAGGAGTTGTTTATAGGGGAAAGGCTGCTTGTAGTGTTTGATGTATGATGGAGACTGCTGTGAGATTTAAATAGTGGCTGCATGTGGATAGGGGCTATAGAGTGTGTTGGTTACATATACACCTTTACGGATCACACACGTACAGACTTTTCACAGATATTTATAGCTTTAAAGGTTCTACACAGATATAGTTACGCACACAAATACACACTCTGTAAAATATTTTGTTTGGGGGATAAGGCCTGTAAATTAACAAGGATCTAGTCCCTCCTACTACCACACCCATGGACTTTACATGAATATGGGGAGATGCTAATGTCCCCCTTTCACCTACTCCTGTTTTGCAGTTGGAGGCAATTCAATTAAATAAACTGGGTATGTATGTATGTATGCTTGCCCCTCCTGGACTAAAACCTCTATTTTGTCCAGTGAAATTCTGGCGGAGTCTGGGGAATTAAACTATGCATCTAATGTGATGATGAGGCAACCAGTTTCAGAACAGTTTATGTAGAATATAACTCCAAGCAATCTCATCCTGTGGCTGGAAGAGCCTGATCAAAGCTTTAGTCAACAAACGTTTTATAAAAGTAAGAATAAATATGGACATATGCACACATTAAAGGGTTACTCCTGGTATCATAACCACTACAGCGGACTCTAGTGTGGCGGCGAGGCTCATCTTCCTGCCCGCCCGCACCTCCCACGCCTCCCCCCTTTGTCAGTCCCTAAGTTGACTTCCCGTAAGATATAGGTCTCAATTTAAGATCCTGATACTTGCTTACAAATCTCTACAAAATGCTGCTCCCACCTACTTATCCTCACTATTACAGAAATATGTCCCGTCTAGGCCCCTATGCTCTGCTGGAGTCCTACACCTAACCTCTGTTCGTACTACTACCTTTGATGCTCACCTTAAAGACTTCTCTAGGGCTGTACTGTTCCTATGGAACGCCCTTCCCCACTCTTAGACTTTCACCCAATCTCCACTCCTTCAAAAAATCTTTGAAAACATACTTCTTTAGGAAAAAAAATCAATTAAACTGTGAACAGCTTTCCCTCCCCGCACCCGGATTCCTCTCCTGAAATTGTCCTCCAAATAAAATACTAGGGGGCGGGGCCTGACCATCATACTGTGGGGATGCAGCAAGGCTCCGCTCCTGATAAATCTTATGATTTTCAAGTTTTTCGGAATATACCCATCTCGGTCCCCACCAAATAGTGCATTCTCTCCTTCCAGCGGCTCCAGGGTGACAACGGTGCAGAAGGCTTCCACGCAGCCTAAACAAAATGGCCACTACCACCCAGCACTCCATAGTCTTCAACACAAAGCTGGGAAGAGAGGTTCCATACTGCGTTTGAGGCCATATGTCGGCGGTTTTGGCGGAACCTGCAGAGGAGGCAGTACATAATGACAGCCTGCTAGCATAAAACTCCTGCTTGGAATCCCCCTCCAGACGGAAAGGCATCTCCAGACAACTCGCCGACCATGCTTGACCAAAGCTATAGGCTCCTCGGGCTCTGATCTGACGGTGGAGAAGGGGGCTCGTGGCTTTCGGAACTGGATTGAGGTGACGATCTGTGGAATCCTTTGCTGGTCTTTATGCTTGCAACATGCCTGCTAGCCAAGGGCATCAGATGAGTTGACCACGGCTCTGGAGTTGCCTTCTTCCCTAAGGGCATCCCCATTGCGCCCTTCCACCTCCTGTCTTTCACTCCCTAGGTGATCTATCATAGTTGACATGGCTGTCACCTTGAGCCCAGTTAAAAAAATGTTGGCTTTACTCTCTCATACAAAATTCTTGTGCAGTCAGTTCATGTATTGTAAGCATTGCTTAACATATTTCTGCACTAGCTCATGCAAACTTTACGTTTTACTTATAAAATGTGAAGTCCTTCTGACATTTAATGTTATACCTGATATCCAACTGCTGGAATATACCCTTGCTTAAATGTCTATATGTGCTTGTATGTTTGTTTCTCTATGCACACAAAAATAAAGAATAATAAAAAAATAAAAAAAATAAGCCCTCAATGAACACTGTCCTAGCAACCTACTTTTCTAAGCTACCCTTACCTTTTGTGTCACATTGCCCCACTCCCTCTACCATGTAAGCTCACTGAACAGGGCCCTTGTTGGCACTTTATAAATAATAAGAAGAAGTACCCTGGCACAGTTCTCCAAACAATCCCAAATGATTTCTTTTACCTGGGTCCCACTGGGTATCAATTGTCATTCATATGTATTCTGAAGAAGCTGGAAGATGATCCTGATGGTCATTCGTTAGCTGAGAGCATCATCGGAGTGATATTAGCAAATCAATGAATGTCTGTACAAGAAATATGCACATAATTGACATTAGCCAGCTTGGAACTTGCTGGCTAATGAAGCTCCTAGAGGTGGAGTTACACCTCTAATAGCTAGTCTAAGCCTCTCAAAATATGCAACATGTTATCATAAAGTATAGTCAGGCTCTATCAACCGCGGGATGAGATTTATTGAAGTTATATTCTACATAAACTAGTTGAACACCATAACATTACATTAGATGCATATTTTAATTTAAATGCTGCACATTCAGTGTTCTTGCACCTTGACCACTTCAAAACACTGAAGTTGTCATGGTGCTTGGAATAATTCTTTTAACTAATAGATGCATATGGTTTATTTTTGTGTGTGTGTGTGTTATATGAATCCCTGAATCTCAAAAATATCCACCTCTGCAAAAAATTAACAAGGAAGTAAATGCTGGGCAAACGTTGTAGGTCTTCATTAGCTACAGAGGCCAGCTCTGCAGTTAAAGGGAAACTATAGTTTAAAAAAAAAACTTCTCTCACTTAACTGAACTGTAAAGCCTTTATTGATTAAAAAAATAACATAAACTGGAAAGTACAAGGATAAGACCATACGTTGCCAGGTCAGGACCAGCACAAAAGTAAAGTCTTAATTGGATACAGGGCCAGCCTTAGGCCTTTTAAGCTCCTTGCAGGGCTGGACTGGGGATACGAAGCAGCCCTGGAAAAAAAAATCTATGCCAGCCCCATAAGTCATTGTGTTATATAGTGTGTGTTTTTGGTATATTTCTTTATCTAATTCAAAATATTAGTCCTTTCAGGGTAATTAAATTATACAATAAAACATACTCACATGCAAACACAAACAATCTTACTGATGCACACAAATAGGCTCATTTACAGACAACCTCAATGACACACACAGACAAGGTGTACACACACACATTTATTACAGACAAACTGATATACACACAAGCTTACTACAGACAAGCCCATTGACACCCACATGCTCCCTACAGAAGAGCTAACTAACACACAGATTCACTACAGACAAGCTCACTGACACACACATGCTCACTATAGACAAGCTCACTGCACACACATGCTCACCACAGATGGGCTCAGACACACCTGTGCACCCTACAGACAAGATCACTAACACATACACACACATGATCCCAACAGACAAGCTCACTGACACACATACAAGCTCACTCACTAGCAGGCGCGCATACACACACTGAAGCTCCCTCACTAGCAGATGCGCGCACCCACACACACACAGAAGCTCACTCACTAGCAGATGCACACACACAGAGGCAGACATACACACACACACAGACAGGCAGACAGTCACACACACACTGACCTGCTTCTTACCTCCACATCCCTTGGAGCTCCTGGAGACTGGTTGTTGGGGAAGCAGGGACTCCTTCCTGCTTCCCATGCTGCAGTTACCCAGCTCATTTAGCTCTGCCCCACTGCACACTAAGCTCCACCCCCGCTGCAATATTTTTTTTTATAATCCTGGCAGGCCATGTGTGAGCTGTGTCAGCCGCCTGGCGCCCCCTGCTCCCATGGCACATGGCCGGCCGGGATTACAGGAGCCTGATCAGTGATGATGAGGGCTGTCAGCCCAGCCCCTGGTGCCGCGGCCCACTGGGAAATTTCCCGGTATCCCGGTGGGCCAGTCCGGCCCTGGCTCCTTGTGCTAAAAATCTTCACAGTGACACTCCCTGGTCACAGCCGCTCATCCATGTATAGTGTATGTGTGTGTGTATAGGGGTGGAGTGTTTGTATAGGGGCTTTATTTAATGAATAACTATATATATTGGGGTGCTGGGAATCTGGTCTACGCCTTCGTGTGTGAGATATGTGTGATGGTGAGAGGCGGGAATGAGAGGAAACATGTCTCTGTCTTTTATCCCACTCAACCCGTTCTCTCTCGTCATGCAAAGCACTCTTTTGGACTGTGAGGATTATGAAAATAAGAAGCAGCAACAAGCCAGAGACAGCAGGTATGCTGGTTGGGGGGAAAAAAGTTTTACAAAGCAAAAATGGGGGTTGGTAGAGAGACATGCATTGTGGGGGGAAAACAGGCATAGGCACATATTGCATGGGTGAGATCGGGCAGAGCCTCACAGGGGTGTGGAGAGACATGTTAGGTCAATGAGAAAAGCACAAAAAGTTAGAAAATTATGTCTATGATGGCAGAGAAATGTGGATGAGAGCAAAGCCACTAGTGCAGTGGTGTATCCTGGTTTTGTGCTGCCCTAGGCAGGACAAAACTCAGGCGCCCTCCCCCAAGCCCCCAACCCTTCCCCCTGCGCCGTCTTCTAAATACACACACACATTCACTGACAGATACGCATACACTCGCTAACAGAAACACACACACTAACAGAAACACTCACACTCACTGACGCACACACTCACAGGCAAACACACTCACACTAACAGACACACACACACTCACAGGCAAACACTCACTGACGCACAGTCAGACACACACATACACACTAACAGACACACACAGTAGGCATCTCACTAACAGACACACTCACACAGTCAGACACACACACACACACATTAACAGACACACTCACTAACACATACACACACTAACAGACATATACACACACTCACTCACATTAACACATTTTTATTTTTTTTATTTACCCCCCCCCCAGCCTCCTTACCTTTGGGAATGCTGGGGGGGTTCCGTCTCTCCCTGTGGGTCCAGTGGCTGCTGGGCGGGCGACTGGCGAGGGAGCTCTTCCTCTGAGGTGTCTGCTCAGCTCCCTCACGCCGCAGAGTGAGGCTGGGAGCCGGAATGACATCATATTCCGGCTCCCAGCCTCACTCTGCGGCGCGCGAGGGAGCTGAGCAGACAGCTCAGAGGAAGAGCTCCCTCGCCAGCCTCCTGCCCAGCGCCGCCCGCTCGGCATGTCAGTTAACTGCGAGGCTAACAAGACATTTGCCCTGGGCATTTGGGGGGCGGCGTCTTTTGCCGCCCCCTGAAAAATGCCGCCCAAGGCAAATGCTAAAACGCCCCTGCACTAGTGGGGTGTTTGGAAAGGAGAAACGTGAGGTGTAGCAGAAGCACATTTGAAAGGCAACATCATTAAGTAAGATCGTTGATAATAGTGGGATGAGATAGAGTCACAAGAGGAATGGCAAGGGTTGACAACCAAGAGAGACTCAATTGATGGAGAATAGTGAAAAATATACATTGAAGGAGATAGATTACAAACCTCCTCTGCCTTGGTTAACCCCTGCCTGCCTGAACATATCTAGTTTAAACTTCTGTCTGCCTTGGTTAACCCTTGCCTGACTGAACCAGCTGTGGTTAACTCATGCCTGCCTGAACCTGTTTTGGCCAACCCTTGTCTGCCTGATCCCATCCTGGACCACCTGGTAAACATTTGCCTACTTGTTTAACCTGACAAATACTGTTTGCTGGTCCTGCCTGGATTATCCAGTCAGGGTCGGCCTTACTGGTGTGCAAGCTGTTCAGCCGCACAGGGAGCCATGGCAGCAGGGGTGCCAGGGAGTCCCTGCTTTCCCAACAACTAGACTGCAGTGCCTCCACTACCTCCTCCAGCCCATGGTGAAAATAGGTAATGGCCTGTAATTATGTGGGAGAATTTGTGTGACTGTCTGCCTGTAACTGTGTGCGTGTGTGACCATCTGCCTGTAACTTTGTGTGTGACTGTGTGAGAGTAACTATGTACCTAGGACTGTGCGTATATGGCTGTATTTGATAGTATATGTGTATGACTGTGTGTGTGTATGAGACACTGCAACAAACACACATGCATTCACACATGGGCCTACATGCATTTAAAAAAATAAAAATTAAATACCCATCACAAATATTAGTACATAGTACATAGTTACATAGCTGAAAAGAGACTTGCGTCCATCAAGTTCAGCCTACCTCACATTTGTTTTTTGCTGTTGATCCAAAAGAAGGCCAAAAAACCCAGTTTGAAGCGCAATTTTGCAACAAGCTAGGAAAAAAAATTCCTTCTTGACCCCAGAATGGCAGTCAGATTTATCCTTGGATCAAGCAGTTATTACCCTACATTGAAAGATTATATCCTTGAATATTCTGTTCTTGCAAGTATGCATCTAGTAGCCGTTTGAACATCTGTATGTACTCTGATAAAACCACTTCTTCAGGCAGAGAATTCCACATCCTGATTGTTCTTACAGTAAAAAAACCTTTCCTTTGCCTTAGACGAAATCTTCTTTCTTCCAGTCTAAACGCATGGCCTCGTGTCCTATGTAAAGTCCGGTTTGTGAATAGATTTCCACACAATGGTTTGTATTGGCCCCGAATATATTTGTATAATGTTATCATATCCCCTCTCAGGCGACGTTTTTCTAAACTAAATAGGTTTAAATTTGTTAACCTTTCTTCATAGCCGATATGTTCCATTCCTTTTATTAGTTTTGTAGCCCGCCTCTGCACTTTTTCTAGTGCCATAATATCCTTCTTTAGAACAGGTGCCCAAAATTGCACAGCATATTCAATATGGGGTCTTACCAGTGATTTATAAAGAGGCAAAATGATATTCTTGTCCCGAGAATGAATGCCCTTTTTCATGCATGACAATACCTTACTGGCCTTGGCCACTGCTGATTGACATTGCACATTGTTGCATAGTTTGTTGTCTATAACAATTCCTAAGTCATTTTCATGTGTTGTTATCCCTAATTCGCTTCCATTAAGGGTATACGTTGCTTGTGTATTCTTTACGCCGAAGTGCATAACTTTGCATTTTTCAACATTAAATTTAATCTGCCATTTGAGTGCCCAGTCCCCCAGTCTATCTAAATCCCTCTGCAGCAAATTAATATCTTGCTCACATTGTATTATTTTACAAAGTTTGGTGTCATCTGCAAACACTGAAACATGACTTTCAATGCGGTCTTCAAGATCATTTATAAACATGTTAAATAGAAGTGGTCCCAGAACAGACCCCTGAGGGACACCACTTGTCACCTCTGTCCAGCTTGAAAATATACCATTAATGACAATTCTTTGTACTCTGTTTTTAAGCCAATGTTCTACCCAAGAACAAGCATTTTCATCTAGACCGATTTCCTTGAGTTTGAACACTAATCTATTGTGTGTAACTGTATCAAATGCCTTGGCAAAATCCAAATAGATCACATCCACGGCAACACCCTGATCTATACTTCTACTTACTTCTTCGTAGAACGCAATCAAGTTAGTTTGACATGACCTGTGCTTCATAAAACCATGCTGATTTTTGCTGATAACCATGTTCTTCTCAAGGAATTCTTGAATATTATCCCTTAATAACCTTTCAAATATTTTACCAGCCACAGAAGTTAAGCTCACAGGTCTATAATTTCCAGGCAAGGATTTTGAACCCTTTTTGAATATAGGAACCACATCTGCCTTCCTCCAATCCTCCGGAACACTTCCTGAAAGAAAAGAATCTTGAAAGATTAAAAACAGAGGTTCACTTATTTCTGCACTTAGTTCCTTAAGTACACGTGGATGGATACCGTCAGGCCCTGGAGCTTTGTTTATATTAACTTTCTTTAGTTGCTGCAGCACCTTGTCTTGAGTTAACCAATTATAATTATTCTGCAAGTTTTTAGTAGCAATCATTTGCACATCTATTGCCATGGGTTCTTCCTTAATATATACGGAGGAGAAATAGTTATTTAAAATTCCTGCCTTTTCCTGGTCTTCATTAACTAACACCCCCGTTTCAGTTTTTAGTGTACCTATACTTTCATTTTGTTTGTTTTTTTAGAATTTATGTACTTAAAAAATGCTTTGGGGTTGGTTTTGCTCTCTTCAGCTATCATTATTTCATTTTGAAGTTTAGCAAATCTAATTGCCTTTTTGCACGCATTATTTGCATCCTTATATCTTTTATAAGATGCATCTGATTTGTCCGATTTAAATGCTTTAAATGCCCTTTTCTTAGTTGTAATCTCTTGTTTTACTTCTCTACTAAGCCACATTGTTTTTAATTTGTTTCTTTTATATTTATTTCCCAACGGTACATACTGAGAAATGTACCTTTTTAATATTTGTTGGAAGATGATCCATTTATCCTCAGTGTTCTTTTCACTAAAGAGTTTATGCCAGTCAATATATTGTAAAGCTTCCCTTAACTTATTGAAATTGGCCTTTTTAAAATTATATGTTTTAGTATTCCCCATGTGCTTTTGTTTTTTTGAGTTTATTTCAAAGGACACTATATTGTGATCACTATTTCCCAAGTGCTCACCTACTTGAATGTTGGTCAAAAGATCAACGTTGTTTGTTAAAACCAGGTCCAGACAAGCATCCATTCTAGTTGGTGCTTGTACAAGTTGTGACATGAAGGTGTCATTTAACAAGTTTAAAAACCTAATTCCCTTTGCTGAGGCACTAGTCCCTCTGTCCCAATTTATATCCGGATAATTAAAATCTCCAATAATTAAAGTGTTACCCAGATTTGCAGCTTTCTCAATTTGCTCAAACAGCTGTTGTTCCTCATCAATATTAACATTAGGTGGTTTATAACATATCCCAACCAATAGTTGGTTTCCCTTCTTTTCCCCCAAGCAGATATTTACCCATAAAGCTTCCACATTATCCTCCTCGCATTCCATTTGCTTAACATTTGGCTTTAAATCATGTTTGACATACAAACATACCCCACCACCCTTCTTGTTTTTCCTATCCTTCCTAAATAACATGTACCCATTTAAGTTAGCTGCCCAGTCATGTGTCTCATCCCACCATGTTTCAGTTATGCCTATTATATAATATTGTTTAGTGTATGCTAATACCTCTAGTTCCCCCATTTTGTTATTTAGGCTTCTTGCATTAGTAAGCATACATTTAATATTATGCGTCACTTGTATATTTTGTGAATTTTCACCATTACACAGCTTCTCTGTTCTGAGCTTGCCCCTTCCCCCGTTTCCACCCCCCTTATACTGTGCTAAAGCCCATCTCCTTTCTGTCCTATCTCCATTTTGTAGATTGCCATGACCCTCCCCCCCTACTACTGGTTTAAAATCTCCTCCAACCTTCTAGCCATCCTATCCCCCAGCACTGCAGACCCTCTCCCGTTTAGGTGCAATCCATCACCACTATAAAGGTTGTACCCAATCGCAAAGTCGGCCCAGTGCTCTAAAAACCCCAAACCCTCCTTCCTGGACCAAGACTTAAGCCACGCATTGACCTCTCTAATCTCCCGCTGCCTTTCCACTGTAGCGCGTGGCACAGGTAATATCTCAGAGAATACCACCTTCAAGGTCCTTTTCTTAAGTTTGCTACCTAATTCCCTGAAATCATTCTTTAGGACCTTCCATCTTTCTCTTACTTTGTCATTGGTACCAACATGGACCATGACCGCTGGGTCATCCCCAGCCCCTCCCAATAATCCATCCACTCTGTCAGCAACATGCCGGACCCGAGCACCCGGGAGACAGCAAACTGTCCGGTTGAGCCGATCAGAGCGGCAGATTGCCCTATCTGCTCTCCTAATGATAGAGTCCCCTACCACCACAACCTGTCTTGCCTTCCTTACATTTTGATCCCCACCTGTACTAGGGGGGCTGTTAGCTCGGCTGTTAGAAGTAACAGCTTCCTCTAATACAGCAACTCCTGAGCTGATGCTCCCAACATCTTCCCTCTGTTGGGGAAAATATTATGTATATATATCTGTTTAATATGTGCTTGATTAAGTCTGTGTGTATGGGAGGTCAGGAATTATCTTAAAAGGGAGTTTCTGTTTAGATAGCTGAAAAGATACAGCACCTGAAAGGCACCAATCACATTTACATATTAACTGGTCTTCAAAGGAGTCCCTATATAGCAAAACACACCTTGGGTTAGAGGAAAAGGGATGGCTGGGAAAGTTAACACTTAAATAAAATAACAGGATAGACAACACTTTGGGCCTTGGGAAAGTAAATCACATTTCCATATCAATTGAGCTGAGAAATTTGCTATTTACAACATGGGAACCAATTCCTTTAAAAATAGAAGATACTGACATGACATTAGATTAGGTTTGGTAAGACACACATGCTGCACATAACATTGCACAGCACATACACAATGTAGCAGATATTATTATACACAATGTAGCAGATAGTATTAGATGGAATGTATGAGTGTTATGAATGTATTGTAACTGTAATACTATAACTCTGTAACATTCTTCTTCTGTACTATTGAATTGGGCAGATTCTAAGTAAAGCTTTCTCTCTGGTAAGAACTATGGTGTTGGCTGTTTATTTGTAATATTGGGTAGAATACCTTAGTAGTGCTAGTCATATATTTATCTGGATAAGGGGATAAAGATATATGTTAGTTCTTGGAAGAGGTGACACAGGGATATTACATTCACTATTAAAAACACAACGCAGAGTGGATTTCTCTCAAAAGGATACCAATTGGAAGTATTGGTGGTGAGAGAAGGATTATACAACATAATTGGTGCCGTGACCGTGGCCGGAAGATTTCTTTCTTCAGAATCTGTCTAGGATCCAAGTTTTAACATCAACGTATTTGGTTCTGTGACTGTCAGCCAGAAGAGGTTTCCAGTGTCTGCATAAAGCTTGGTGAGTATATTTGTTATTTAATCTATTGCTGCAGTGTATATTTTTAATATGGCATGCAAAAAAGTAGATGCAAAAATGGCTTGTTCAGAAAATGTTAAACAATGGCTTATGAATTTTATTAAGAGACATGGTGGTCCTTATGAAATCCCTCAGGACTGTAAACAGTCATGGGAAAAGATGCAGGAGTTGTTAGGAGAAATGTTATTTGATAAAAATGTTTCTGATAAAAAAAGAAAAGGGTGTATTGTGCAAGCATTACTATCATGTTGTTTAAAATTAGAGGGAATTGTAAAAATAAAGGAGGATGAAATGGCAGAGCTAAACTCAGTAATTAACATGAAAATGGCAGAAAGCATGGCACCTTCGAGTAGGTCTCCGGTATCTGAAATTCCAGGGTCTATTGCTAACCCAGGGATTGGAGATACAGGATACAAACCTTTTTATCCATGGGAGGATTTGAAACAAAAGTCAGTGACAAATCTCCCTGCGGCTCCAACTACAACAACCACAGTGTTGAATCCTGATAATTCTGGAGAGATTCAGCTGGTTACTAAGCAGTTGAAGCAACAAGAAATGGATGCCATAGTTAGAGAAATAGGGCAGGTCCCTCAGCAGGATATAAATCGCTTTTTGCAATGGTTTTGTGGAGTTCAAAGAGTGAAAGAGATGTATAGTTTGACAACTAGTGATATGGAGAGAGTGCTGCAGAGAGTTGTTGGAAATGGATTGTGGGTCAGGATTGTACAGACATGTGGTCAGCAGCGTAGAACTAGGGATATGTTGAAAGAGATCTTGAGAGCACTTTATGGAGTTACATCAAATGTGTCATTGTCTGGAAAAATTAAACAGCTGAAACAAGAGTCTCCGTATGAATTGTCAGCTAGAATCTCCACAGTGATGGAACAGTTTGGTGTCAGTAATCCTGGTTTTGAACAGGGAGGGATGGTGCATAGATCAATGTTTTTGGATGCATTAGAGCAAGATATTAAAGATGAGATATTATTTGTAACCCCAAACCCATCAGAAATGTGTGATTTACTGTTAAGAGCTGATAATTTGTGGCGAAGAAAGGTTAAAAGTGAGAGTTTTGCTGTAGATACTGCAAGGATTTTCAGAGTAGAGAGGAGAGACAGGTCTGCCATGTATCCTCAGAAACTATTCAGGGGAGATAGATTTCAGCATGTGGGAAATTTTAGATGTGAGAATGAATCTGATAGTGACAAAAGACAGAGAAATCCACAGAGGGACTATAGGAATAGGGATAGTGCTAAAGGGAGCAATGTAATGGGAGATAATTGGAGAAATAGATGGGATGAGCCTCAGGTAATTAACAATAATTGGAATAATAATAATAACTGGGAGAGGCTAAAAAGGAGAGATAATACCTGGAGAAATAACAGTTGGGGAGAAAAACGAAGAAACAACAGGAACAGTTATTGGGAGAATTCTTGGAGAAGGAACCATAGATGGGATGATCAGACCAGTAGATGGAATTGGGATAATTGGAGGAATAAAGAAGGGAATAGAGAATACTGGGACCTGAAGAAACAGACTGAGAGATTGGAGGCAGACGTAAAAGCGCTTAGGGAACAGATGAGAAATGAGAGAGAGACTGATCAATTGAGGGTTCCCAGCAATTAACTACCATAATTATTTTTTGTTTTTCTCTACATCTGTATGTATGTTTGTTTTTCTTTTGTTTCTATATATGGTTATCAATAAAAATAGCCTTAAGCTGCTTTTTATCTTTGTATGGCAACAGACCGTTGTCAGTTTTCTATAGATTGCATGCTGACTAACATCTTTGATTTTTTGTCGTTTTTATTTTTAAAAAGGGATATAACAGAGCATCAGATTGGAAACGGAGTAATGTTGCAAGATTTTTCCCCCTACCACCCATTTCCAAAACCAAAATGGAAAGGTCCATATATTGTGCTTGACAAAATTGTCCCTTCTGTGTATTTGTTAGATGTGGGAGATGAGCACTTTATGCCAAGTTAATGTAAATGTTAACATAGTCTCTTAGTTCTCATTTACAGATAATAGGAGATGGAGTGGATCCCTGGAAGAGCAGCTCACAGTAGAAATATGAAGTGCAAGAAAACAGCTGTCGTGATGTGGTGGTTATGTGTATCGTTTTTTATGTATATATTGTATAGCTTAGGAAAAGGGAATGTCATGATGAAGAATAACAATAACATGGTACATCAGAGTACTCCAGTAGAGGGTTATCATAGGGAGAAAAGGAGTTCAGAAGATTCAGAGAATATCATAGTAACATTAAAAGTAAAGGAACAATCACCTGAAGTTACATGTAAAGATAATCTTACAGTGGTTGGGCCTATAGGGGGGTGGATAGTGATACAATGTAATATTTCAATGCCTGAAACTAACCTTCCCTCTGAATTTGCAGTTTGGAAATATCCAGGAGGAGTGATTTACATAAGAGTACAAGTATATTTTGGGCCAATACCACAAATGAAGTGAGGATAAAGATGCTGCTGGAAAGAAATTTTACATTTTCCCAGGATGGTGTTGTAACATGCAGCCCCCATCAGACAGGATTACATGATACAGTTGACCCAGCAATTAACATAAGAATTATACATTCTCAGGACTGTCCAACTACCACCCTATGGCCAGAGCATGGCCTTTTCTTACAACCAACACAAACTGTTGTGTATACTGATGTATCTTATGTAACAGTACCGTTATTGTTAAATTTTTCATTATTTAATATACCAGAGAGTTGCCCAGAGATGATGAAAGAATGGTTTAAAAATGTATTTCAAGCACATATTAATCTATTCTGGGATGCAACACAAGGGCTCAAGTTTAGAGAGAGAGAAAAAAGGGATCTGGGTACTGATATAATCTCAGGACTCAGTTTGGGAACATCAATTTGGAATAGGGCAGACATAGAGGGTCTTAACTCAAATTTATGTTAATGGGTTGCAGCAAATTATGCTTAAAGAGGGACGAGTGGATTTTAACACTCTAGCTGAAACTGATGTCACGATACAGAACATTCACACAGTTGCTGCAGATTTGCAGTGGATTAATATATCTGTGAATGCTCTCAGAGAATCAGTTAATAACAATAATGTATCTAAAGCTATGTGTTACGACACGTACCGTCGGGTAGATGAAGCCGCCGTTTAGGCAATAATCCCCTTCTCCAGAAATGCAGTTTAAATCCAGCCGATCGCCAAACTCCCGAACGAAGTCCACGAACACGGCAACTCCCGATCAGCCAAACAGTCGAACGCCTTATACAGCTAGAAATAACGAAAGCGCTGTCCCAGTAATAATTCCCCCACAAACGAGACCAAGCTCCGTCTTGAGGGTCAAATGAAGTTCTGTTTAATGGGGGCTACCTGCCCGGTATTTATGCAGGTCTCCACAAGGTGGACACTCCCCGAGGGGACCTTGTGGAAGACTGTAAAACATATTGGACAGTAGCCAATCGCAGTGGCTTCAATAATAGCCCTTCCCATCTTACCCACAAATCCGTCTTCTCTACCCTGGAGATAATTAGGAAGAAACCTAATTATCTCCCAAGGTAGAGACAATCGCCATTTTAGCTTACAGTAACAAAAATACATTAAAATACATAACGACAGAAATACCGAATGCATATGGTTCATGTAACGTATCCCCAGACAGCCTGGATCTGAGGGCATGTTTTCACCGAACAGCGCTCAGATCCGATGTATCTAGTCGAATCGCCATGGAGTCAAAGTCTTGCACCAGTCCTTCGGTATACGAATGACTCCATGGGATGGCTGTCGGGGTAAAAGTCCATACGAATGAATAAAACTCCCGAACGACCGACGTTCGCATGCCTTGTCGAAAAGGAAGGTAGGCAGCAGCTTTTCAGCGGTGTTCGGTAGTTTAAGTGTCCGTTTTTAGTTCCATACAGTTTGTACCGAACACCGCTCTGTGTTCGTATGTCCCAAAATGGCCGCTGCCTCGTGGTCGACATGCGAACGACGACCACCCGTACGAATGGAATGGAGAGGTGTCTGCGGTTAACCACAACGTTCTAATTGGGGCCAAGAGGTTAACCAGCAGCACACTCCTCTCCTGGGTGGTCGTTCGTTCGGTAGTTTCAATCGGCATTTTGCAAATTGCACGAACGGGGTTATATGAACAGGCAATTCCGCGAACAAAGGGAAACAGACGAACCAACAATGCAGATGAATCTGTCACACGGATCCCCCCCCTTTAGCGGGTCAACGTGGGGATGACCGGACTAAGATGGGGTGAGGATGTCGGTTTGCCTGGACAATCCATCTGCGTTCCCATTCTGCTTACCGGGTCGATAAGTGATGGTGAAGTTATATGGCTGTAGGGCTAAACTCCACCTCAGCAGTCTGCCATTGTCTCCAGAGACCCGGTGAAGCCAGACAAGGGGATTGTGGTCCGTCACAAGGGAAAATTCTTGTCCATATAAATACGGGCTTAGCTTCTTCAATGCCCACACCAGAGCCAAACATTCCTTCTCCACTGCCGCATAACTCACTTCTCTGGGTAACAACTTTCTGCTGAGATATGCGACAGGGTGCTCTCCTCCATCTTCCCCGACCTGGCTCAGCACAGCCCCCAGTCCATACATGGAAGCATCTGTATGGACGAGAAAACGTTTGTTAGGGACTGGGGCAGCCAGGACAGGGGCATTCACAAGAGCTTGTTTGAGTGCTTGGAACGCAGCTTCACAAGCTGGAAACCACAGGACCTGCTTAGGAAGATTTTTCTTGGTCAGATCAGTCAGGGGTTTGGCAATAGCGCTGAAGTCGGGGACAAAGCGTCTATAGTACCCTGCTGTCCCTAGGAAGGCTAACACCTGGGTCTTGGTGATAGGTGTGGGCCAGTTAGCAACTGCCTCTATCTTGGCTGGCTCTGGCCTCTGGCTCCCACACCCTACTCTGTGACCCAGGTACTGCACTTCAGCCATGCCTAAATGGCACTTCTCTGGTTTCAATGTCAGGCCAGCGGCCCAAATCTTGTCCAGTACTACCCCTACATGCACTAGGTGTTCTTCCCAGGACTCACTGTAGATCGCAATGTCATCCAGGTATGCACAAGCAAATTCCTGGAATCCATCAAGAAGTCTATCCACCATACGCTGGATGGTAGCTGGGGCATTCTTCATCCCAAATGGCATGACCTTAAATTGGTACAGGCCAAATGGGGTGACGAAGGCCGACTTGGGGATAGCATCCTCGGCCAGGGGAATCTGCCAGTAGCCTTTGCACAGGTCTATGGTGGTCAGATAGCATCCCCTGGCAATGCGATCTAGCAATTCGTCTACCCGGGGCATCGGGTAGGCGTCAGTGGTGGTCCGCTCATTGAGACGCCTGTAGTCCACACAGAACCGGGTGGTCCCATCCTTCTTGGGCACCAGGACTACAGGCGAGGCCCAAGGGCTATCGGAGTGTTCGATGACCCCCAGCTGGGTCATCTCCTGTATCTCCTTCCGCATTCCTTCCCGGACTGCTTCAGGGATACGGTAGGGGGGTTGTCGCAGAGGGTTCTGTCCAGGGGTTTCTACCTTGTGTACAGCTAGGGTAGTGTAACCAGGTTCTTGGGAGAAGGTTGCCTGCTTTTCCCATAGAAGCTGTCTGGCCTGGCCCTTCTCGGTAGCGCTCAATCTGTCCCCTAGCTGTACTAGGCTAGTAAGATCCGTCTGGGGGTCCCTCTCTAACAGGTCTGGCAAGGGTAAACTTTCTGTATCATCTGCAGCAGGGGCACATACTGCAGCGACATTCTCTGGTCTCTCCTGATACTCCTTTAGCATGTTCACATGGAAGGATCGCTGGATCCTTTCATCTGAACAGCTGGCTATAAGGTAGGTAGTATCACATATCTGTGCTAACACCTTATACGGGCCCTGCCAAGATGCCTGCATCTTGTTCGCCTTCACAGGTTTGAGTACTAACACTTTCTGCCCAACCTGGAAGACTCGCTGTCGGGCACCCCGATCGTACCACCTCTTCTGTCTCCCCTGAGCCACCTGGAGATTCTCCCTTACCATTAGGGACAGTTTCTCCATGCGGTCCCGGAGTTCCAGAACATATGGTACTATGGGGGTCCCTTCCTGCTCTGTCTCCCCCTCCCAGTGGCCTCTAATGAGATCTAGGGGTCCGCGGACCCTTCTCCCATATAGCAACTCAAAGGGGGAGAACCCAGTAGATTCCTGGGGCACCTCTCTGTAGGCAAACAACAGATGAGGCAGGAATCGCTCCCAGTCTCTGCAAGTGTCAGAAAAGGTCCTCAGCATCTGTTTGAGGGTGCCATTAAATCGCTCGCAGAGACCGTTAGTCTGTGGATGGTAAGGTGAGCTAAGCAGCGGTTTAATACCGCACACCTTCCACAGTTGCTGGGTGAGCACAGCGGTGAATTGGGTTCCCTGGTCAGAGAGAATCTCTTGAGGGAACCCGACTCTGGTGAAAATCCTAACCAGGGCATCAGCAACTGTCTCTGCCTCTATATTAGACAGCGCTACTGCCTCTGGATAGCGAGTGGCATAATCCACCACGGTGAGAATATATTTCTTACCGGATGGACTAGCCCTGGCCAGTGGACCCACAATGTCAACGGCTATGCGGGCAAAGGGCTCCCCAATGATAGGCATAGACATAAGCCTAGCTCTTGGGTGGTCCCCCCGCTTCCCTATCCGTTGACATGTGTCACACGTACTGCAGTATGTCCGCACAGCCTGATTGAAGTTTGGCCAAAAAAAGTTCTGCATGATCCTATAGGCTGTGCGGCGGGAACCTAGATGTCCAGCTAGGGGAACATCATGCCCTATCCGCAGAATCTCCTGCCGGTATTTCGCGGGCACCACCAGCTGTCGAGTCGGCGGAGGGGCAACACTCTTCGGGGAAAGCTTGGGGATCCTATATAACCTGTCCCACACCCACTCATACCGTTCCCCATCTAATCCTTCCTCTCCAGTATCTGCTCTGTCCCTATACTTCTGGAGGGTCGAATCTGTCTGAGTTTCCCTCCCAAACTCCTCTGGGGAATCCCAGTTAACAAAAGTCTGTTCTCGGGTACCAGTCGGGGACTTGGTCCTTACCTGGGTCTCAGCAGCAGGTGGGCTGGTTCCAGCAGCACGGGTCTGGGCACGGGTAGTCACTGGGTTGATAGCGGCAGGTCCCATTGGAGCATGAGCGGACACCAAAGGGGCCAAGTCATTCCCAAGTAAAACATCGGCCGGTAAGTCTTTCATGACCCCCACATTCACGGGTCCAGAGCCCACCCCCCAATCCAAGTGAACCCGGGCAACCGGTAAACGGAACACTGCACCTCCCGCCACCCTCACTGCCACAGTATCTCCAGTGTGTTGGTGTTCGGACACAAGGTTCTTTTGGAGCAAAGTCATAGTGGCTCCGGTGTCTCTCAGTCCAGTTACCGCTTTGCCATTTAGTTTAACGGTCTGCCTGTGCTGTTGACGGTTATCCTGCTGCGCTGCTTGGACCGGATCCGCCTCATGTAATATACCCCAAAATTCCTCCTGCTCCAGACAGTGAGCGGAAGGTTGGGGTGGCTGCTGGTTTCCGCCGGCTGGTCTTCTCCACGACTGTGCTTGGCTCGAATTGTTTAATGGGCACTCGGGTCGCTTGTGCCCCAACTGCTTACACCCATAGCAACGGATCGGCTGGGAGTAATCCCGGCCGTTGAACCGGGCTGGCTGAACGTAATTGTTCGCTGTTGGCATGGTGGGGGTGCGTTGTGCTGGGTGTTGATACACTGCAGCGGTTGGAGGGGCTGCTGGTTTGTACTCCACTCGGGTAGGGACCTTGGCTGCTGTCTGGTCCAGTTTCCTGGCGTCAGTGTACTCATCAGCCAGACGAGCAGCTTCGGGTAAGGTAGCGGGTTTGCGGTCCCTAACCCACTCTCTGACTCCTACGGGTAAGCGGTCAAAACAGTGCTCCAACAAAAACACTTGCAGCACCTCTTCCCCAGTTACCGCTTGGCACCCTGCCATCCAGTGGGCTGCGGTGCGGTGTACTCGGCATGCCCACTCAACATAAGAATCACCAGCCTGCTTGTTAGTGTCCCGGAATCGCCGCCGGTATGCCTCCGGGGTCACAGCATATCTGGCCAAAAGGGCATCTTTCACTGCCCTGTAGCTGGTAAGTTCCTCCTCTGGGATGGCCCGAAACGCCTCACTGGCCCGGCCGGATAACTTCCCAGAGAGGATGGGGACCCATTCTCCTGCGGGTACCTGGTGTAAGGCACATTGCCTTTCAAAATCCGCCAGGAACCCATCAATTTCTCCTTCGGCTTCTACAAAGTTCCGAAATGCAGCAAAAGGTACTTTTCTCCTTCCATTATTATTATACGGTACCTCAGCTGCTGCAGCGCCTCTTCCTTGAAGCGCCTGTTGTGCTGCTACTGCCGCTTGTACTTGCACCACAATATCTGCTGCGGGGTTGGGGCCAAAATGTGCCAGCCTGATCTGAACTGCCCGGTTAAACTGCATCTCCTCGGGTGTTAACTCCAGCATGCCAGGCACATCCGCTCCCCCCGTTCCCTGTGCTGCATCCATTTCCAATAGTATGGCAATAATCTCTCTTTTCTTGAGATTACTCGCTGATCGTCCTCTGCGCTCCAATATATCTTTAAGGGTAGCACGCCTTAACTCCTCATACTGCATTTCCAACCTGGGATGTGTAGCTGGCCTTCTGGGCTGTAGGATTCATCCCACCGCTGCCACCAATTGTTACGACACGTACCGTCGGGTAGATGAAGCTGCCGTTTAGGCAATAATCCCCTTCTCCAGAAATGCAGTTTAAATCCAGCCGATCGCCAAACTCCCGAACGAAGTCCACGAACACGGCAACTCCCAATCAGCCAAACAGTCGAACGCCTTCCACAGCTAGAAATAACGAAAGCGCTGTCCCAGTAATAATTCCCCCACAAACGAGACCAAGCTCCGTCTTGAGGGTCAAATGAAGTTCTGTTTAATGGGGGCTACCTGCCCGGTATTTATGCAGGTCTCCACAAGGTGGACACTCCCCGAGGGGACCTTGTGGAAGACTGTAAAACATATTGGACAGTAGCCAATCGCAGTGGCTTCAATAATAGCCCTTCCCATCTTACCCACAAATCCGTCTTCTCTACCCTGGAGATAATTAGGAAGAAACCTAATTATCTCCCAAGGTAGAGACAATCGCCATTTTAGCTTACAGTAACAAAAATACATTAAAATACATAACGACAGAAATACCGAATGCATATGGTTCGTGTAACGTATCCCCAGACAGCCTGGATCTGAGGGCATGTTTTCACCGAACAGCGCTCAGATCCGATGTATCTAGTCGAATCGCCATGGAGTCAAAGTCTTGCACCAGTCCTTCGGTATACGAATGACTCCATGGGATGGCTGTCGGGGTAAAAGTCCATACGAATGAATAAAACTCCCGAACGACCGACGTTCGCATGCCTTGTCGAAAAGGAAGGTAGGCAGCAGCTTTTCAGCGGTGTTCGGTAGTTTAAGTGACAGTTTTTAGTTCCATACAGTTTGTACCGAACACCGCTCTGTGTTCGTATGTCCCAAAATGGCCGCTGCCTCGTGGTCGACATGCGAACGACGACCACCCATACGAATGGAATGGAGAGGTGTCTGCGGTTAACCACAATGTTCTAATTGGGGCCAAGAGGTTAACCAGCAGCACACTCCTCTCCTGGGTGGTCGTTCGTTCGGTAGTTTCAATCGGCATTTTGCAAATTGCACGAACGGGGTTATATGAACAGGCAATTCCGCGAACAAAGGGAAACAGACGAACCAACAATGCAGATGAATCTGTCACACTATGGTATGTGGTATAGTTGGAAATTTACTAGACGAACATCGAAATTTAGGCCTCCAAGAAATAAAACGAGGGGAATGGCCCAGAATAATCAATTCTACCCTAGTCTTTGATCTGGTTAGGGAATATGGCATAGATTGTCAGAATGTAGTCCTTTCCAAAATTAAAGGTCTGCAGAGTTGGTGCAATAAGTGCAAATTAGGAAAGAAGGTAATTCCATTAATAATTTACATTCCAGTTTGGACAGAACAGCCTGTACCTGTTTATAAGATGACTATGTTTGGTGAGTTGGAAGTGGCTAATCGCACTAATGTTTTAAAGCAATTCCTTCCACAAACTCGCTTAGTAATAAAAGAAGACCAGTTCTGGAAAGTTATCAACCCCAGTTGCTGTGACAGATGTGGTAATGCTTGGCTTTGTTCCTGTGTACTAGAACCACTAGTCCAGGCAGATGGGTGCATGGTGGAAAACTCAGGGAGCTGCCCTGTTCACCTTCACAAACCCCTAAATGGTTGGAAAAGAGTGGTGCACGGACAGGGTCCCACGATCTGCGCACTGGGAGTATCTTCAGTTCTGTGGCAGCAAACAATACAATGTAGGGTACCCCCAACAGGATGGTGTGTTAATCTTACCTATGGCTCCATGAAAGTGGGCAAAGAGGTCATAAGAGCCAATATCCAACTCACACAAAGATCTATGGACGTGGTACAGGAAGATCTAGGAAATTGGAATAAAATGGCTCCCTCACTTTTTAAGAAAATCCCACCACTTAATGTAGATTTGGATACATTATTTAAAAGAAATAATCGAAGGGTTGTGCAATTGCAAGAGCTGGTGAAGGAAAATGTAGCTAGCTTTAATGATTTAACAAATAGTTTTCAAGAGCCCTGGTGGAGCATACCCTACAATACTTACACACACCCAGGATTAAGAACAGCTTCTGTAATATTTGTTTGTCTACAATTTGTTTTAATCTGTTCTCTATTCATTTTATATTGCTGTTGGAGGAAAGAACTAAAAAAAATCCATACAAAGCAGGAAAAATTAGAGCTCACATCCATTTTACGGATATAAAATATATGTGTGGGTTTATGTCTTCCCTTGATTTTTTTTTTTTTTTTTTTGGATTTTTTTTTTAATATACAGAAATCAGAGTGGGAGGCGGGGCTGTATGTGAATAATCTCCTTATTAGATCTTATTCAAGTGGGGGAGTGTTGGGGAAAATATTATGTATATATCTGTTTAATATGTGCTTGATTAAGTCTGTGTGTATGGGAGGTCAGGAATTATCTTAAAAGGGAGTTTCTGTTTAGATAGCTGAAAAGATACAGCACCTGAAAGGCACCAATCACATTTACATATTAACTGGTCTTCAAAGGAGTCCCTATATAGGAAAACACACCTTGGGTTAGAGGAAAAGGGATGGCTGGGAAAGTTAACACTTAAATAAAATAACAGGATAGACAACACTTTGGGCCTTGGGAAAGTAAATCACATTTCCATATCAATTGAGCTGAGAAATTTGCTATTTACAACATGGGAACCAATTCCTTTAAAAATAGAAGATACTGACATGACGTTAGATTAGGTTTGGTAAGACACACATGCTGCACATAACATTGCACAGCACATACACAATGTAGCAGATATTATTATACACAATGTAGCAGATAGTATTAGATGGAATGTATGAGTGTTATGAATGTATTGTAACTGTAATACTATAACTCTGTAACATTCTTCTTCTGTAATATTGAATTGGGCAGATTCTAAGTAAAGCTTTCTCTCTGGTAAGAACTATGGTGTTGGCTGTTTATTTGTAATATTGGGTAGAATACCTTAGTAGTGCTAGTCATATATTTATCTGGATAAGGGGATAAAGATATATGTTAGTTCTTGGAAGAGGTGACACAGGGATATTACATTCACTATTAAAAACACAACGCAGAGTGGATTTCTCTCAAAAGGATACCAATTGGAAGTATTGGTGGTGAGAGAAGGATTATACAACACCCTCAAACGGGCAAATCTGCTAGGTTGCACCAAATCAGGACTAGCTAGCCCTTTCCTCTTCCCTCCCCCCCTGCTTCCTCGCCCCACTGTCACCCAGCTACATGCCTGTTCCCCATCTGTCTTATCTCCTCCCTCTCCACTACCTGTCCCTACTAAACTCTGCTCAGTGAGCAGTAGACTCCTCTCAAGATTGTCAATCTCCCTCAAAGTTGCGAATTTGCTTATCGAGATCTCCAATCTGAGCTTCCAGACAGTCAATACACCCAGGGACACTGTAGGCACCCAGACCACTTCAGGACATGGAAGTGGTCTGGGTGCAATGTCCATTCACCCTAACCCTGATCATATAATTATTGCAGTTTTTTATAATGTAAATACCTGCTAGGGTTAACTGTCTACCAGACAGCCACTAGAGGAACTTCCGGGCTCGAAGGAGACTATTGGTCGCCTAAATGACGCTGAACGTCCTTACGCTATGCATGAGGACTTCCATCATCACTGGACCCATAGGAAAGCATTGATTAATGCTTTCCTATGAGGAATTTCTGATGCGAATGCAGCCATTGCCGCATATACGCATTAGGTTTCCACCCGCAGGCTGACGCTGGTGGGGGAGGAGCGTGGACGGAGTGGAGCCAGCATTGAGGGACATCGGCGCTAAACCTAGGTAAGTTACAGAGGGGGTTATTCAGGGCCGTCTTTAATATCGATTGGACCCTGGGCAAGCATTTGCTTGGGCCCCCTATACCTGCCCTTCCCCACTCCCCCGTGCCCCCCCATTCTCAACCCCCAGCTCCTTGGCATGCAATCAGGGCCTCCACCCCAACCTACTGATAGAACTAATGTAGAGAGGGCTGTGGTGCAAGAATCTCTCCAATAGTGCAAGAGTGGAGAAAAGTTAGATACCCATCTGTCGTACAACTTCCACGATGGGGATCCACCGTTTGGCCATTCTTGTAGGGTTGTATTTGTGAGCAGTGTTTGTGAATTTGAATGTAAGCATGTTTTTGTATAGAGTATATGTGTGCATATAGGGGTGTATTTGTATATACTGTTACTATTGGAATGCAGCTGTGTACTTTTGTGTAGTGTTTGTGTTTGAATGCAGGGGTGTGTGTTGGCTTTTAAATGAAGTTGTGCTTTTGTGTATTGAGTTGGCGTTTGTATATAATTGTAGTGTTTTATGTAACATTTGTAATTGCATGCAGGGGTGTGTGTGGATGTAGGGTTGTCTTTTAAATGCAGATGTACATTTGTGTGTAGCTTAGTGAGTGAAGGGTGTGTTTGTATACAATTTTGGAGTTTGTATTAGGGGTGTGTTTGTATGTAATGATTGTGTTTGCTGTGGTGTGTTTGATTGCCTGGATATATGCACATACATACACAGACACATATAGCCAGATACACACACTGACACACACAGCCAGATACACAGACTGACACAAACACAGACAGATACACAGCCAGATATATAGCTAGGTACACTCACAGCCAGGTACACACACACACACACATACAGCCAGATACACATGCACATACAGCCAGATATACACACACAGTCAGATATACACACACACACACACACAGCCAGATAAACACACACAAACACACACACACATACAGCCAGATACACATGCACATACAGCCAGATACACACATTGACATACACACAGCCAGGTACAAACACTCACAGTCAGGTAGATACACATGCACATACAGCCAGATACACACACTGACATACACACAGCCAGATACACACATTGACATACACACAGCCAGGTACAAACACTCACAGTCAGGTAGATACACATGCACATACAGCCAGATACACACACTGACATACACACAGCCAGATACACACATTGACATACACACAGCCAGATATACACACACAGTCAGATATACACACACACATAGCCAGATAAACACACACACATAGCCAGATAAACACACACATATAGCCAGATAAACACACACACATAGCCAGATAAACACACACACATAGCCAGATAAACACACACACATATAGCCAGATAAACACACACACATATAGCCAGATAAACACACACACATAGCCAGATAAAAACACACACATATCCAGATAAACACACACACATAGCGCCAGATAAACACACACATAGCCAGATAAACACACACATATGCCCAGGTACACTCACTCAGACCCAGGTACACACACATATATCAAGTTACATCATGTTTTAGCCACCCTCTTGTCTCCTTACCTTTTGGGTACAGAAGGGTGGCTTCCCTGGGGTCCAGTGGGAGCTGGAGGGCCAAGGCTGATGAGAGTCTGTCCTCGGTCCCTTTTCTCCTCCTGTGTATACCTCCTCTACCTCCCTAGCGGCACTCTGTTACTTGGGAGGAAGTGATCTCACCTCAATTCCTCCCAGCAGGCAACATCAAAGGGGCCAAGGCCGAGCACTCTTAAAGGGCTGAGGGCCCTTAATTACATCAGGATTTGGACCCCAGCAGCGGGCCCACAGAGCAGCAACTTTGGGCCCCCCACGAGTAACTGGGCCCGGGGCAGCTGCCCCTTTTGCCCCCCTTTAAAGACGGCCTTGTGTGGTGTATCACCAAATTAATATATATATTACACAAGGTTCGTCTACATTAAAAGGTATTTATTAAAAGGCAACAACACAATGCTATAAATGTATCACAAACACACAGCCCAGACCCATGGAGCAACAACCCTTTTTAAACTATCTATCTATATAGTAACCCCTTCCCCACACGCTTGATCTCACCCACGGTTAGGCCTTCACATCTAGTAATGGCTCACTGCTGCAAGTTCAACATCACATCCACCAAGGAAGAAAAGGAAGCAACAGAGTGTAACATGGTTCACAATGCTAGCACATGGCGTCTGCACATCTGCTCTGCAGCACAGCCAAGAAGGAACAGAGAGGAATGGAGAAAGGGGGGAGTGGTTATCTCTCTCCTGACTTGTAAAGGTATTGTATTACACAATTACCATTTCAAAGGGTAAAGCTTATCCCACTGTAGCTTGGTCACATGACCCCTGGTCACCATATTAGTTTGATGACAGAATGTCACCACATTCCCTCACTTTTTCTTCTCTTATGTTGAGCACATTTAAAAATAATAATATATCCCTCTTATCTATCTAAACTATGAGATCTGAAGTAGGAAAGGGGAGCACAGGAATTATAGTGAGTGATATAAGCAAGGTGAAAGAAAAGTCAAATAGGGGTTGCATCACCCCACATTCCCCCACTTTTTCTTATTCTATGTTGCTCCATTATCTAGTTATCCCTCTAGTACAAGAGAACCTAGTGGGAGCAAAAATCTGATATACAGGAGAAATTCAACCCACCGCTCCTCCGGAATAGTTCTCCTGTACTTTCCTATGGCTGTCAATTCACATATTATGTCACAAAAAAAAAACAAAACAGAACTTATAGAATTTAGGTGAGTGTGTGTGCAATGTTAAACTTTATTGAAGAATGTATGAGAGAGAGAAAAAAGAGAGAGAGAGATAAACAAAAAAGAAACAAATAAACAAAACAAAAAATCCCCCTTTTCAAGTTTCTTCCTCATCTATTTCATTGCCACACAAAAGTATACTAGCAGCAAAGTTTGTAGGACTGGATGTGATATTTGCAGAATTCCATACTCTCAATCCAGTTCCGACTCCTCCCGGTAGAGCTGTAAATTGTCCCATTTTTCCTGACACCCTGCTTTGCCTAAAACACTGTCGCCGTTGTTCCGGACACCTTGGAGGAATAGAAGGATTATTAAAATATAGACTGTAAACCTCTCCCTTATTTGGAGTATCTTCTGGCCGTATTGCCTGTCTCCAATCCCTACTGTGATACAGCGTATACTTATCCATCCTGTAACAAGGATCCACTACGATCTTCTGTTGACACACATCATCATCATCATCCCAATACAGCTTTGCCTTGCTCTGTGGGAACTCTAGATCTCATCATTAGAAAGGAATAGCTAAATGGGAGACCGGAAGACTGAGAGAAAGAACAAAACAAAAGAAAAACAAACATACATACGGATGTAGAGAGCAACACAAAATTATGAGTGTTATTGATTGCTGCGACCCCCCAATTGGTCAATCTTTTCCTCCTCTCTCAACTGTTCCCTCAGCGCTTTCACGTCTGCCTCCAATCTTTCAGTCTGTCTCTTTAGGTCCCAGTAGTCTCTATTCCCTTCTTTATTCCACCAATTATCCCAATTCCGTCTATTGGTCTGATGCTCATCCCATCTATGGTTCCTTCTCCAATTATTCTCCCAATAACTGTTCCTGTTGTTTCTCCGTTTTTCTCCCCAATTGTGATTTTCCCACTTAATATCTGTCCTTTTTAGCCTCTCCCAGGTATTTTTATTATTCCTTAGGCCCCTCCCATCTATTCCTCCAATTATCTCCCATTACATTCCTATGGTCCCTCTGTGGATCTCTCCATCTTTTGTCAAAGTCCTGTTTTGGTCTCCAGTTCTCGTTATCCCTCTTGTTCTGGAGTACATCCCACCTCTGGCTTCTCCATTTACCATCTAGTCGACCTTGAATGTTCTTATGGCTGAAACAGAGAAGGCCTGTTCCGAGGAAGGATGCTTGATCCACCAGTTGTCAGCTCTAGTTAGTACCATTTCTAAGTCTGCTGGTGTTGGATCAAAAAGCCTCACAAATTCTTGACACTCCCAGGGAAGGGCTTCCATTACTTTAGTAATATGTTGTGGTGAGCCCAAGACCAGAGGCTGTTGAGGTTGGCGTAGCGTATACCAGAACAATATCCTTTGAGCTACCTCTCTAGGACCATCTGCTGGCCTCATCATAATAACTATTTCTTTCTCTATGCTGAGTAGATAGAAAATCGTTGCAGCAATTCTTCCTGCCTGGTCAGACACACTGTTATTAAATCCAAATAGTCTGCTAGCCAAAGGACCCATAGCATATTCTAACAGTTCTGTCCATTCTTCTAAGTTAAGACCTCCTTTTTTTGCTCTATTTGCTCCCCTCATAAACCAATGTGTAAAG